GGCAAAAGTGCAACACTACATTATGTAGAAAAAGGACACCACTACACTCGTAAGTAAAAGGTCAACACTACACACCTAAGTAAAAGGTCATCACTACACACTTAAGTAAAAGGTCAACACTACACACTTAAGTATAAAGTCATCACTACACACTTAAGTAAAAGGTCATCACTACACACTTAAGTAAAAGGTCAACACTACACACTTAAGTAAAAGGTCACACTTAAGTAAAAGGTCATCACTACACACTTAAGTAAAAGGTCAACACTACACACTTAAGTAAAAGGTCACACTTAAGTAAAAGGCCATCACTACACACTTAGGTAAAAGGTCAACACTACACACTTAGGTAAAAGGTCGTCACTACACACTTCAGTAAAAGGTCAACTCTACTAACTTAAGTAAAAGGTCATCACTACACACTTAAGTAAAAGGTCATCACTACACACTTAATTGAAAGGTCAACACTACACACTTACGTAAAAGGTCATCACTACACACTTAAGTAAAAGGTCATCACTACACACTTCAGTAAAAGGTCAACACTACTAACTTAAGTAAAAGGTCATCACTACACACTTAAGTAAAAGGTTATCAGTACACATTTCAGTAAAAGGTCAACACTACACACTTAAGTAAAAGGTAGTCACTACACACTTCAGTAAAAGGTCAACACTACTAACTTAAGTAAAAGGTCTTCACTACACACTTAAGTAAAAGGTCATCACTACACACTTGAGTAAACCTACAACATTACAAGCTTAAGTAAAGAGATACCGCTACACTATGGCGTAAAGGGACATAACTACACACTTATGTAAAGGGACATCACTACACTATGGAGTAAAGGGACATCACTACACACTTATGTAAAGGGACATCAGTACACACTTATGTAAAGGGACATGGCTACACTGTGGCGTAAAGGGACATCACTACACTATGGAGTAAAGGGACATCACTACACACTTATGTAAAGGGACATCACTACACTATGGAGTAAAGGGACATCACTACACACTTATGTAAAGGGACATGGCTACACTGTCGCGTAAAGGGACATCACTACACTATGGAGTAAAGGGACATCACTACGCTTTTAAGTAAACGGACATCACTACACACATTTGTAAAATGACATCACTACACTGTGAAGTAAAGGGACATCACTACACTCGTAAGTAAAAGGTCAACACTACACACTTAAGTAAAAGGTCATCACTACACATTTCAGTAAAAGGTCAACACTACACACTTAAGTAAAAGGTCATCACTACACACTTAAGTAAAAGGTCAACACTACACACTTAAGTAAAAGGTCATCACTACACACTTAAGTAAAGGGACATCACTATACACTTAAGTATAAGGACAAGGACACTACACTATGGTGTCAAATGACAACACGCGTAGTAAAGGTAAAAGGAAAAGGCAACGCTACACTATGAAGTAAATGGACATCACTATACACTAAAGTAAAAGAACACCAGTACACACTTAAATAAAAGGACAACACCATAGGCGAGTAAAAGAACAATACCACGAATAGGACAACACTACACAAAGGAATAAGAGCTCAACTCGACACATTCGGATGACATCACCACACAATCGAGTTAATGAGAGTGAGGTACACCACACAATCGGGTAAAAAGACAACACTTAGAATAAAATGGCCAAACAATTGAGTAAAAGGACAAGTAGAAGGACAGTACAAAACCCCAGAGTTCAAGGACAACACTATCTGGAAGCCCGCATCACCGAGGGGTTATTCAATCCCACGGACCTGCTTTTGTGATCACCTGACAGGGCAGTCACTACACTACAGGGAAAACGTGATCGTGAATTTGGTGTCGACGTGACCCACTGTGTAACAATGAGATTGTGTTAGTCGGTGTAGTTGGGGGCTGTGCTATATCTATAGGTTTAGTGCTGAAGTAGGTGACCTATTCATGCTATGATTCAAATATGGTGATCACCTTAAATCAGGAAACACAGCGTATGCTGATGCGAGCAGACAAAGCAAAGAGGAAAACTTCACCGCCTGCATAATATACACATGGAAATAAGTTTCGCAACACCGCCTTATTTTCCATATTATCAATACCATTAACCATAACAAAAGAACGTATCCAAAACTCAATTGTTAATTCCTATCTTGATACATTGACCCCCAAGGAATAAATACATAGCAAATCTAAACAGAAACTTGGATTCAGAAAAGCCAACATGACAAAATTCATTTTGTAGTCCTGACAACTATGGTCGTATTACGTTAACAAATACGGTCATTCTGAAGATTCCGGCATACAATCCTCAAGAAATAATATAACCGAGCATTGACTGAATCAGACGTTGAATGTGACGATGAGGTATTTCGTTCCATTCTTACTGGAGGGCTTATTCCAATACACCAACATTTGGTACTGCAGGATCTCTCCGTCTTATTCTGCGACCTATAATGTACAAAACATGCTTCGTGGCTTTGAGATCTGGACTTCTGGTGGGCCATGGTAGAGTTGCTAGCGCTTCTTGTCTAACTAAATAACTAATGTCTCTACTAAGTCCCCAACGGCAAGTACACGATGGGCTGAGCATTGTCGTCCATGAGGCCTGGCTTTGTGTTCAGAGAATGGTCATTGAAGTGCGTCACAACAGTTCTGTCTCAGATGTCCGTGCCTTTGTCCATTCAGATTTTGTCTGATTGCCACAAGGAAGACTTGCAGTCATGTATGCACCCAAATCATCAATGAACCCTTGCCAAACGGTACTTGCTCCAAGATATTGTGTTGTACATATGCAGTGTTTCCGTGGCTATTAGTCATGAAAGGAAGAAACCGCCTCACATCCCACCAGTACACCCTTACCCGTGACTTCGAATTCCAGTGACGTCGAGCTTGACACCAAGCCAGACGTGTTGCTTTGTGTTCTGGGGGTAACAACGGACGTCTAGCTATATACTCGGTGATTTCGGATCGTTCTGTTGGACAACCGACGATGTGGAAGACATTGTTTTTAGCATGCTCCATGACAGAACCGGACGAGGTTTTGTGATATATTTGTTTAGCAACAACGAAGTCAATTGATTTTCCAAGTTATCGAACTGTAAGAACTGAAACTTTATATTTGCGTAATGACGGGTACACGTATTGCACGTGGTTCTCGCATGTGATCGTAGCAGGTGCGTATCTACTAAATTCAATGTATGGTGAGCCCGAAGGGTCAAAATAACAACATAAATTCTGATATGAACGTAAATGGCTTTTTAAAAAAAAAAAAATTAATTTTTTTTTTTTGGGTGGGGTGGGGTGGGGGCATTGTTGTTGCGAAAAGAATTTCAATATGTATATATACTAAGTACAGCCACTGCAGTAGGATATATGTCATAAACAGTAATGTCTGTCAAACCGGTGATTCCATAGCGCCATAGCCAGGTAATACTAGCTGCAGTGTTTGTGGGATTATATATCCCCTTGTGGGTTTTTGTGTATCTTTCTAACTTAGGTCGAATGAATTACACTCACTGGTTACTTGAGAGCAGCAGTTCTAAATTAACAACTGGATGTTCTGGTCCATCAATCCCTTGATTGTCTGGTTTGCTGACATACCTACGTTTGGTGCTGTGCGACGTAAGGCAATAGATATTATTTTGAGACACATTGTGTGAGTGACGAGTGCTACCGGCAGAGCAGGACTGGACTGACCTTTAGTCTCTGAAAATACCTTTGACGAAAACAAATGTCTCTAGCTAATTTGAAAGGATCCACGGTGAGCTGGGAGATGTTGGTGAAGCGAGCCATGGCGGTTTGATATGCTCACTCTGTAACTCCGTCTTGAACGTGACCTACTTCATTTTACAAACCCTGAACCTGGACCTAGACTTGCCTCATGTAGTGCTTTTCATTTACCGAAAGTGCTGGGCGGAAGGGAGTGAGTGAGTGAGTTTAGTTTTACGCCGCCTTTAGCATTATTCCAGCAATATCACCAGGGACACCAGAAATGGGCTTCACACATTGTGCCCATGGGGGGAATCGAACCCTGGTCTTCGGCAACCCGACCGTCCCGGGCGGAAGGGAAAATTGTTCAGGGACTGTGAGACAGACTAGAGCAGGGCATTCTTACCTGTTGGGCAGCTGTTATCATTACTAAGTTTCATTCATACATTCACATATATTATTGATAGTTAATTTGCCCTTTAACCCAAATGGATGCAAGTCTGTAGATAGTCAAGGCTATTTATTGCTCTTCACTGCCACATTATCTGTATCATCTGTTAAATTATATAAATGCAATATTACGCTAGTCGCGTGGTGAAATATATAAATGCTTGTCACATGTTCAATGATATCTCGGCACGTCAATACTGGCGTACATTGAAGGATGTGTTTTATGGTAATGTTGACTGATACACGGGTACTTTGATGCTTGTCATGCTATGGATGAATCATGGGCACTTTGACGTACGTAAGTTGCGTGTTGAATTACTTGAGTGAGTGAGTGAGTTTAGTTTTACGGCGCACTCAGCAATATTGCAGCTATATAGCGGCGAGTCTGGACTAGCCAATCCAGTGGTCAACATCATGAGCATCGATCTACGCAATTGGGATACGATGACGTGTCAACCAAGCCAGCGAGTCTGACCACCCGATCCTGTTAGTTACTCTCTCTCTCTCTCTCTCTCTCTCTCTCTGTGCTTATGTATATTCCCCTCTACTTGTCTCCACTACACATCTCTCTCTCCTCGTCTCTCCCCTACTACTTGTCTTTCTAAGTCTATCTCCTTCGTTGATATGTCTCTTCTTCCTCTCTTTACCTGTCTCTAAATACCTCGCCCCTCTCTCTCCTCTCTCTCCCCTACTACTTGTCTTTCTAAGTACCTCGTTGATATGTCTCTTCTTCCTCTCTTTACCTGTCTCTAAATACCTCGCCCCTCTCTCTCCTGCCTGTGTCTAATCCCCATATCTTTATGCATTTTACTACATATTTCTTCGTTGATATAGAATGTCGACTTCCTCGCAAATACCTTTGACAACAAGTGAATCAACGGAATCAACAACAGTGTCAACAGCATCAACAACAACAACAACAACAGCAACAACTTCATCAACAATGACGACACAAACAACATCAATCACCAGTACAACTTCACCTTCAGAAGGTAGGTCTATAGACGTATATGCCAGTATGTACTTAGCTGGTGGAACCACACACAGTCCGTACTGCACAGGTGGAGCCAATGTACGTTACAGTGTTGGAGGAGATAATCCAACATGTATTACACTGGTGGAGATACTCCAAATACGTATTACAAAGGTTGAGATACACCAAATACGTATTACACAGCTGGAGATACACCAAATACGTATTACAAGGGTGGAGATACACCAAATACATATTACACGGTGGAGATAATCCAAATACGTATTACACAGCTGGAAATACACCACATACGTATTACAAGGGTGGAGATACACCAAATACATATTACACGGGTGGAGATAATCCAAATACGTATTACACAGCTGGAGATACACCACATACGTATTACAAGGGTGGAGATACACCAAATACATATTACACGGGTGGGTGATAATCCAAATACGTATTACACAGCTGGAGATACACCACATACGTATTACAAGGGTGGAGATACACCAAATACATATTACACGGGTGGAGATAATCCAAATACGTATTACACAGCTGGAGATACACCACATACGTATTACACAGCTGGAAATACACCACATACGTATTACAAGGGTGGAGATACACCACAACGTATACATGGAGATACACCAAATACATATTACACGGTTGGGGGTGATAATCCAAATACGTATTACACAGCTGGAGATACACCACATACGTATTACAAGGGTGGAGATACACCAAATACATATTACACGGGTGGGGGTGATAATCCAAATACGTATTACACAGCTGGAGATACACCAAATACGTATTACACGGGTGGAGATACACCAAATACATATTACACGGGTGGGGGTGATAATCCAAATACGTATTACACAGCTGGAGATACACCAAATACACGTATTACAAATGCGTATTACACAGGAGATACACCAAATACCAAATACATATTACACGGGTGGGGGTGATAATCCAAATACGTATTACACAGCTGGAGATACACCACATACGTATTACAAGGGTGGAGATACACCAAATACATATTACACGGGTGGGGGTGATAATCCAAATACGTATTACACAGCTGGAGATACACCAAATACGTATTACAAGGGTGGAGATACACCAAATACATATTACACGGGTGGAGTGATAATCCAAATACGTATTACACAGCTGGAGATACACCACATACGTATTACAAGGGTGGAGATACACCAAATACATATTACACGGGTGGGGGTGATAATCCAAATACGTATTACACAGCTGGAGATACACCACATACGTATTACAAGGGTGGAGATACACCAAATACATATTACACGGGTGGAGATAATCCAAATACGTATTACACAGCTGGAGATACACCACATACGTATTACAAGGGTGGAGATACACCAAATACATATTACACGGGTGGAGTGATAATCCAAATACGTATTACACAGCTGGAGATACACCACATACGTATTACAAGGGTGGAGATACACCAAATACATATTACACGGGTGGGGGTGATAATCCAAATACGTATTACACAGCTGGAGATACACCAAATACGTATTACAAGGGTGGAGATACACCAAATACGTATTGCACGGGTGAAGATACACCAAATACGTATTACACAGCTGGAGATACACCACATACGTATTACACAGCTGGAGATACACCAAATACGTATTACAAGGGCGGAGATACACCAAATACGTATTACACGGGTGGAGATACACCAAATACATATTACACGGGTGAGATAATCCAAATACGTATTACACGGGTGGAGATAATCCAAATACGTATTACACAGCTGGAGATACACCAAATACGTATTACACGGGTGGAGATAATCCAAATACGTATTACACGGCTGGAGATAATCCAAATACGTATTACACAGCTGGAGATACACCAAATACGTATTACACGGGTGGAGATAATCCAAATACATATTACACGGGTGGAGATAATCCAAATACGTCTTACACAGCTGGAGATACACCACATACGCATTACAAGGGTGGAGATACACCAAATACGTATTACACGGGTGGAGATACACCAAATACGTATTACACGGGTGAAGATATACACCAAATACGTATTACACGGGTGGAGATACACCAAATACGTATTACACGGGTGGAGATACACCAAATACGTATTACACGGGAGGAGATAATCCAAATACGTATTACACGGGTGGAGATAATCCAAATACGCATTACACGCAGATACACCAAATACGTATTACACGGGTGGAGATACACCAAATACGTATTACACGGGTGGAGATACACCAAATACGTATTACACGGGTGGAGATAATCCAAATACGGAGATACACCAAATACGTATTACACGGGTGGAGATAACCAAATACGCATTGCACGGGTGAAGATACACCAAATACGTATTACACGGATGGAGATACACCACATACGTATTACACAGCTGGAGATACAACAAATACGTATTACAAGGGCGGAGATACACCAAATATGTATTACACGGGTGGAGATACACCAAATACATATTACACGGGTGGAGATAATCCAAATACGTATTACACGGGTGGAGATAATCCAAATACGTATTACACAGCTGGAGATACACCAAATACGTATTACACGGGTGGAGATAATCCAAATACGTATTAAACGGGTGGAGATAATCCAAATACGTATTACACAGCTGGAGATACACCAAATACGTATTACACGGGTGGAGATAATCCAAATACATATAACACGGGTGGAGATAATCCAAATACGTATTACACAGCTGGAGATACACCACATACGTATTACAAGGGTGGAGATACACCAAATACGTATTACACGGTCGGAGATACACCAAATACGTATTACACGGGTGAAGATATACACCAAATACGTATTACACGGTCGGAGATACACCAAATACGTATTACAAGGGTGGAGATACACCAAATACGTATTACACGGGTGGAGATAATCCAAATACGTATTACACAGCTGGAGATACAACAAATACGTATTACAAGGGCGGAGATACACCAAATATGTATTACACGGGTGGAGATACACCAAATACATATTACACGGGTGAGATAATCCAAATACGTATTACACGGGTGGAGATAATCCAAATACGTATTACACAGCTGGAGATACACCAAATACGTATTACACGGGTGGAGATCATCCAAATACGTATTAAACGGGTGGAGATAATCCAAATACGTATTACACAGCTGGAGATACACCAAATACGTATTACACGGGTGGAGATCATCCAAATACATATAACACGGGTGGAGATAATCCAAATACGTATTAACACAGCTGGAGATACACCACATACGTATTACAAGGGTGGAGATACACCAAATACGTATTACACAGCTGGAGATACACCAAATACGTATTACACGGGTGGAGATAATCCAAATACGTATTACACGGGTGGAGATAATCCAAATACGTATTACACGGGTGGAGATAATCCAAATACATATTACACGGGTGGAGATAATCCAAATACGTATTACACAGCTGGAGATATACGTACCAAATACACCAAACACGTATTACACGGGTGGAGATAATCCAAATACGCATTACACGGGTGAGATACACCAAATACGCATTACACGGGTGGAGATACACCAAATACGTATTACACACGGGTGGAGATACACCAAATACGCATTACACGGGTGGAGATACACGTGCATTACACGGGTGGAGATACACCAAATACGTATTACACGGGTGGAGATACACCAAATACGTATTACACGGGTGGAGATAATCCAAATACGTATTACACGGGTGGAGATAACCAAATACGCATTACACGCTGGAGATTACACCAACAATACGCATTACACGGAGATACACCAAATACGCATTACAAGGGTGGAGATACACCAAATACGTATTACACGGCTGGAGATAATCCAAATACGCATTACACAGCTGGAGATAATCCAAATACGCATTATTACACAGCTGGAGATACACCAAATACGCATTACACGGGTGGAGATACACCAAATACGTATTACACGGGTGGAGATACACCACCAAATACGCATTACACAGCTGGAGATACACCAACACGTATTACAGGGCGGAGATAATCCAAATACGCATTACACAGCTGGAGATACACCAAACACGCATTACACTGGCGGAGATACACCAAATACGCATTACACGGGTGGAGATAATCCAAACACGCATTACACAGCTGGAGACACACACAAACACGCATTACACGGGCGGAGATTACACCAAACACGTATTACACGGCGGAGATACACCACGCATTACACGGCATTACACCAATCAATGCATTACACGGCGGAGATACACCAAACACGCATTACACGGGTGGAGATAACCAAACACGCATTACACGGCTAAGTGGAGATACACCAAATACGTATTACACGGGTGGAGATAATCCAAACACGCATTCAATACAGCTGATTACACCAAACACGCATTACACGGGCGGATAATCCAAACACGTATTACACGGCGTGGATAATCCAAATACGCATTACCGCATTACATCGCCGGAGATACACCAAATCACGTATTACACGGGCGGAGATAATCCAAATACATTATTACACGGGTGGAGATAATCCAAACACGCATTACCGGCTGGAGCTGGAGATTACACCAAATAACGCATTACAATGCACGGGAGATACACCAAATACGCATTACACGGGTGGAGATACACCAAATACATTATTACACGGGTGGAGATACATCCAAATACGCATTACACGGCTGAGATACACCAAATACGTATTACACGGGTGGAGATTAACCAAATACGCATTATTACGGGTGGAGATAATCCAAATACGTATTACACAGCTGGAGATACACCAAATACGCATTACACGGGTGGAGATACAACCAAATACGTATTACACGGGTGGAGATAATCCAAACGCATTACACAATACTGATTACACCACAATGCGCATGGTTG